TCTCTCTAGCAAGTCTGCTAGCAAGATGGTATTTTACATAATGTAACAGGGTCATGAAAGTGATATCCCATCACATTTGACATGTTCTATGGGTTAGAAACAAGTCACAGTCCCACCCACACTCAATTGGCTTGGGTTCCACAAAGATGTGAAACATCAGGAGGCAAGGATCACAAGGCTTACTTTAGAGTCTGCTGCCACAGAAGTTACTTAATATCTCTGAACCTCAGCTTTTCATCTAAAAAAAATTAGGATACTAATAGTATCTACTCGTAAGGTTTTTGTGAGGATTAATGCACACAAAGCTTAGAATAATACCTGGTTTGTAGTAACTGTTCAGTAATAGATAGGCACTATTGTTTTATTATTATTATTACTAGATGTCCCCACACTCCAGGAGACATTAACTGACAATTTTTCAGGATTCATTATTGATTTGCCCATGCTTCTCAGTAGGTCTTAACTAAATCTTAACTAGATGATCTGGGCGTACTCCTTGACTGCTCTCTCAGTCCCTTTCCTACCTCAGCCCACTGAACGTATGGTTGAAGAATGGGGTGTTTATTGAATTACTCATATCTGTTCATGAATAGATGGGCCTTAGTGTGTTCAGGCTGCTATAATAAAATACCACAGACTGGGTGATGTATGAATATTAGAAATTTATTTCTCCCAGTTCTGGAGTCTGGAGGGCAGGGTGCCAGCATGGTGGAGTGAGTCCTCCTGGTTTATAGCTGGCACTTTCTCTCGTTGTTTCCTCACTTGGCAAAACAGATGAGGGATCTCTTTGGAGCCTTTTTTATAAGGGCACTAATCTCATTCATGAGTGACCCACCCTCATGATCTAAGTACCTCCCAATGTTCCCATCTACTAATACTATTTTGGGGAATAAAATTTCAACATGTGTGAATTTGGGGGGAAAGCAAACACTCAGGCCATGGCAATGAGGAAATGAGAGACAGGAAGAGGAAACTTCTCTACCTTTTTATTAGAGAGAATACAGAAATAGTGTACTCCTGCATTAAAGAGGACATCAAGTCAGCTATAGTACTTCATCTTTTTTCTAACATTCTCAGCTGTCTGATCTAAGGCTAGGTCATCAACAAAACTGAACAGATGCTTATGGCATGAGCAAAACAGTTTTAAAATTTAATTAATTTTTTTACAGAGTATTTTTATTTCTTATTCACTGATAAACTAGAAGTCCATTTTTGGATGTTTTTTTCCTCTTGTATGCTTCATTTGTTTGATTAATAAGCAAAGCCCTATAATGGGTGGCTTCACCTAGTCCTCAGACTCAGATCCATCTTTGTCTTGACTAGTCTGAAAGTAATGAAGTTTATAAGTCTCCTTGTCAGATGCAACCACACGAAGCCAATCATGAAGACTGTTCTTTTTAAGGTATTTCTTGGTAATATATTTCAAATATCTTTTTGAGAACTGTTTCTCAGAAGCAACCGTGGTTTTATTCTTGCAGTGTTCAATGTGAACAACATTCCCCAGATTCCCAGTTTTCCCATTGACTTTAACCTTCTCCTGTAGAAACTGTTCAAAATTTCAAGAATCAAAACTACCATCTTCTACTGGGTAAGGTCCAAACCAAACTTCCAGACTGACCTCTTAGGCTTCTTGACTTTTTGTGGCACCATCTTGAAGGCTAGCTATGCTATCAGAGAGCTAAGATTTAATATTTTGATAAAAGACTTGAAATAGTCCTCATGGAAAAAATCTGAGCCTTATTGGTCTTCCTTACTCAAATGAATGCAGTTCAATACTGTTTTTGTTTGAATTACATATAAAGGTAGAGGTAGGAAACCATAAATTGTTTAGTAATGCTGAGTAATGAAAACCCTGATCTGATTTGAATAGAGCTGAGGAACTAGAATTGAAAATGTCTCTGAGTTAGCACTCAGCCTATACTTTTGCTTTATACACTATTTGAATAGCCCTATTGATTTTGTTTCTTATATTAAACACAACAAATTGAAGGCAGCCAGAGGTAGGAGATTTCCTCTGACAATAGTCAGATGTGACAGGTGAGAGCCTGAAAGTGGTATCAAAGCTATTAACACAGGCAGAATTCAATAAGCTGAGCAGTTTGAGATTATTTATGACAGGGGTTGAATTGTACTAGCCACCTCTCTAGTATCATAGAATAGCACAACACCAAAGAAAGGTTACATTTTATTGAAAATGTTCAGTTTAATCACAGAAAAAAACGTGTTATACATTATTCTTTTAATGGTAGAAATTATTTTTGTCTTAGGATACCCCTGGTCATTTACAGAATGTCAAAGAATTTACAGGACTCGAAAGGAATGAAAGTTAGAAAGTTTATTTAAGAATAAAAGCACTGGCAGAGAAGCTGCCAGAGGCAGAGTCTCAAGCAGCAACTGCCCTGATCTTTAGATGAGCGATTTTTTTATATAGGAAAGGGGTAGTCTGTCAGGCAGGTCTGAGGGCTGACATCGCTTCCTAGGGTCTGGTCTGTTTTAAGATAATGTTATCTCTAGATTGTGGACTCGTACTCAGCCACCATGGTCTGGGGCTTTACGTGTTACCAGTAAAAACTACAAGGGAGTTGCAAGATGGATTCCAGTGTCTGGGTGCCTGAGGATTAAGAAATTGAGCTTTCCAGGTTAGGATTCTGCTAACTAAATGAAATAATGAAGTATGGGTAGCCTTGGGAAAGGGAACAAAACAGAGTTCTTAAGTTAATCATTGAGGGGAGAAATAAAGAGAAAACAAGAATATCAGGATGGGTCTAACTGCAAATTAAATCTGATTACGAGTGGCTAGATAGCAAGCTATGTGATGCATCAAACTGCAAACTAGCTAAGTCTAATTATGTTATTGATTCCCAAATTTCACCATTACAGAAATAACATTTTAAAAATCATTTATAGGGCTATGCTTTAGATTTTATGAAAAATAAACTTACATATAGTATTTTATATATTAATAAATCCATGTTACTGTACATTAGAGTAATAGAGCCCAAATTGTAAGGGAGAAGGACCAAAGGATTTCTACAGAACAGAGGAGAAGACACACCTTAGGTTTCATCTCTAATCTGTGATGGAGGCCATCTGGAAAAAAAAAAAGCCCTTCTTTTTAACTTCATGCCTTCTGTTCTTAAGATCCTGTCCTTCCCCACAACTAATATCAAACCCATCACGAGACCAGCAGTCCTGTTTGTGGCTGGCTTCTGCCCTCAGCAGCTTGGGGAAAACTCTTCTGAGAGTAAAATGTTGCCTCCTCTGGAAGACAGTCACTCTCAGTGGGTCCACACTCCATCCACCTGAAGACTCGGCTTCTTTCCTCTCTTCTTTGCCACTCGTCCCTGTTAAGTTACTCTCCAACTTAGCAAGGCCTTATGATCAGAAGTTGCTTTTTATTTAAACTTTATTTTTAGCTATTGAAAACAGATGAATTTATAAATTATGTGTCTTTTATTCCCCTTGGCAATGCCACTTTTCAATAGCTGGCATCTGTCCTGTGGCTGATGGTAGAATGAAATTTTCTAGTGATTCTGCCTGCCTCTCAGATTCATCTGTGGAAGGAGGTAAAATGTTTTTCACCAGTCTCTGTCTTGGGTCCCAATAACAGCACTGTTCTTTTTTTTTTCTTTATTGTTAGTTTCAGGTGTACAGGACAATGCAATAGTTACCATTTTCACCCTCACAAAGTAACAACCCCCTCCCCCCATTTATTGCCCTCCCACCCCCGATATCATGCTTATCTATTACAATTCCATTGAATCCGTTCCCGCGATCTACTCCATGTCCCGAGACTATATGTATATATATATAATTATAGTTGACATACTATATTATTCAACATCAGCTTCAGAAATACAATGCGGTGGTCAGTCCTCTACATCGACTATGAAGTGGACTCCCCAACAGGACATGGGTCCTGGGCCCCTAAGAAATATTTACAACATTATTGATTATATTCCTCGGACTGTCTTTTTCTATTCCTGAGGCCATATTGCAATTACCAATTTGTATTGTCTCATCCCTTCCCCTCTCCTTCATCCCCACCCCCTCCCAACTAGCAACCCTCAGTTCTTCCTCTGTGTCTCTGAGACTATCTCCATCCACTTCTCCCATCCATTCCGTTCCTTAGAATCTACGTATAAGTGAGATCATATGATATTTGTCTTTCTCTGACTGACTTACACTGCTCTTGACACGTTGTTTTGGTCTTAGTTTTCCCCACAGTCCAAAAGCATGGTGAATGAGCTAAGTCAGTCTCCCTCTCCTCTCCTCTCCTCTCCTCTCCTCTCCTCTCCTGTCTTTCTCTTCTCTCACATTATTTCACAAAATACATATTAGGACTTGGGGTCGCTTTTCCTTTACTTCTACATTTGGACAAATTCACAAACATTGGTTATACCTTCTTCAGAAAGTCACAACTTTCCTCTGGTCTTTATTCCCACAAAGGAATCAAATGGATTAAATTTTTATTTTCTCCTTTGAAATTATGCTTCTAAAGCATGAGTTTTAACCAGGAAATTATTTTAAAGCCAGTGGGATACTGAGTGAGCAAAGAAGACTGAAAGAGAAGGTTCCTTTATTCTTGAAATCTCAAAGAGTTATTTAACATTTATAATTTATACCCTGCCTGCTTCCAAAAAGATTTGGGATGGCATACAATAAACCAGGCAGGCAGGAAGGAGGGAGAGCAGGGATTCTGTATGGCAGTGTGGAACAGGCAAATTCAGCTGCAGCAATTTATTGGCATTTTTAACTTATAAAGTTTCTGGCCTGAGTACTTGTCCTAGTACTTTAACTTCTAGAAATCAGTTATAGTTGTGTCTAGCCTGGAAAGGCCACTAGATATCTATAGGCTTGCTAGATATCTATAAAAGAACAAGTTTTTGCCTTAGCCCAAACCTCTCAAATTTATATTGCTGTATGTGGTTTGTATTCTTTCTTTCTTTTTAATACATTATTTTATCTCTCTAGCTATACAAGTTATACTATAGCATGACTGTTCACATAGAACTAAACTATTACAAATATTAGTAAATGGGATAATCCTCATGCACACTAGGGAAGGAAAAGAGTAGTTGGGAGCATTGGTATTTGTTGGTATGTCATGTTATTCTGTCACTTGACAATATTATCACCATGGATCCTAAAATCAGGGACCAATAATTCTACTGGTAGCTGTTGCAGAAGATCATCTTTTTGAATGCTTCCCTGAGCTCTGGGCTCCGGAAGGCATATATAAAAGGGTCAATGACAGCATTGCACATGATTAACATGCCATTCACTTGGAAGAGGGACATGTAGCAGGCACAGTAAGGGTTATTTGGGCAGAATGTCATTAAGAGAACATGAAGGACAAAGGGGGCCCAACAGAAGATGAAGACCCCGAGCAGGATTGTCAATGTGATGGCCCCTTTCATGTTGGCTCTGGAAAGTGTTGAGATCTTTCTGGCATGGGAACGGGCCAGCAAGAACATGTGCACATAGAGGCATAGGATAAAGACCAACATCAGAGGGAACAGCGATGTGAAGGTGATCACTGTGGGGATGTGATGGGAGAAGATCACCATGGTGATGCCACTGCATATGCAGCATATCCAGATGACCATCAGGACCACAATGGCGCGGCGCATGGTCACAATGCTGTGGTACTGCAGAGCATGGAAAATTGTGATGTAGCGGTCAGCAGCAATCACAGACAGACTAAAAATGGAGCCAAGTAGGGAGAGGATGAACAGGGAGTCAATAATGTCATCGGCTGTGGTTTCAAAATTGCCACGAGGCTTGAGATAACCCATGTTTCTGAACATGATCAGGATATTTTCCAAAATCTTATACAGGCTGCCCAACATATCGGAAATAGCTAAACTGCAAATGAAAAAGTACATGGGCGCCTGGAGATTCTTATTCTTAATCACAGCCAGAAGGACAATCAGATTCTCCAAAACCCCGATGATGGATATTATGAAAAATATCTCTTCTGGCAAAACCACATGAGGGCAGTCTGAATTATTTCTTGCTGTATTGTTGGTGTTTTCATATAGATTGATTATGTGCTTCATTTTTCCTGCTTGTGTTGAAGTCAGGAATGTTACTTGGACTTGACAGTAAACTTAACTAATTCTTCAGAATATTTTCTTCTTTGTAGTACTTATAGGAGATCTGAGGTAAAACCCACACTGTCACCTAAGAAAAAAGAAATATATATATAAACATCAATTGCAAAATAGACTACAAAATAAAAACAAGCCATGTTAACTTTAAGAACGCTCTATTGCCTCAATGAAATATAATGGTATAATCATTTAAATAAAACAATTTACTGGACCCTCATCTAAACTGCTTGGTGACAAATATCTTTGGTGGAATTTTGAGTCCAGAGATAAAAATAAAGATTATCCTTTGTCCTGTCTCCTTTTCCTCCCCCATTCTTCTCATGAACCAAATTGTATGTGGGATAGATTAGAATGAAAAAAGAAGTAAAAGAAAGTAAAGGCATGTGTAGAAATAAGAAAACACACAGCCACCCTTCTTTGACTTGGAGGTGGTAGCTGTGTTTAGTGGATTAATGAGATGTTTGGGTCCTTTCTCTTTCACTGTTTTTCGTTCTGGGTCACTGCTTCACCCCATAGTATATAGGATAATGGCAGTGGTATTGATGTACCTTTCCTAAAGTTGGCTATGCAATATGTGTTATTACTTTTATTTCAAAGGTAGAACTCACAGACATGGTATTTCTGGAGATTTCCATGTTTTCAAGGTATCTCTAGATTGGAGTTGAATTATGGCAGCAAAAGGGCCTGGTTTCCCTTAAACAGAAGACTGACTAGATCATAGCTGAACAACTTTGAGAAATCTGCTTCTGATGAGAGCATGTAGAATTTTTACTGATTTAGTTTCCAGATGGACACAGGTAGTTTTATGAAATGTATCAAATTTGCCTTTGCCATTATGGTGGTTTTAAAGATTTGACTACAAATTATTTATACTCTACCCCTCAAGAAATGAGCTTAATTCCCCTCCATTCAAGCAGTAGGGAGACAGCTTGATGGTAGCCCTCAGGAGAATGAATCTAGGAGTGTACCTTTTTTTTTTATTGTTAGTTTTAGGTGTACAGAACAATGCAATAGTTACCCTTTTCACCCTCACAAAGTAACAACCCGCCTCCCCCATCTATTGCCCTCCCACCCCCAATATCATGCTTATCTATTACAATTCCATTGAATCCATTCCCGCACTCTACTCCATGTCCCAAGGTTATATGTATATATAATTATAGTTGACATACAGTATTATTCAACATCAGTTTCAGAAATACAATGCGGTGGTCAGGCCTCTACATCAACTATGAAG